CCATTGTCACTACGGATGATCTTAATTTTGGAATCAAATTGAGTAGCAATCATATTGATGAAATTAACTAGAAGAGTCCTAGCATCAGACTTGTGTTTCATAAGATAAATCCATGTGCATCTAGTGTAATCATCAACAATGGTAAGAAAATATTTGGCACCTGAAATCGAAGCAACTTTATAACCACCCCATATGTCAATATGAATTAAATCAAAACGAGAATGAGTAGTAATTGAACTTGAAGGAAAAGGAAGTTTTGTTTGTTTAGCCAAAGGGCAAATTGCACACTTGTCAGTATCACAAGAGGTATGTTTCAAATTTGAAAAAGAGAATAATGGAAGAACTCTGGGAGATGGATGGCCAAGGTGTTGGTGCCAAAGGGATGGGCTGGATTTTTGTGCCTGATTGCATGTTCCTGTCTTGCCTCGATCGAGATAGTAGAGGCCCTCCCGTTCAATTCCCGTCCCAATCATCATCCCCGAACGTAGGTCCTGTATGATACAAAAGTGGTTTAGAAAAATGGTTATGCAAGATGAATTTGCTAACTTGCTAATAGAAATCAAATTCAATTTGAAATACGGGACACACAAAACATTCTCAAGAATCAATTTGGGGGACAAGACAACTGTGCCAATGTGGGTCACTTGTGCCACGGACCCATTCGGCAATTCTACTGTGTGATTGGTGACCGGCCTCGAGGTAGAGAACAAGTTGGAATCATAAATCATATGGTCCGTGCATCCACTGTCTAAAATCCAAGTACTCTGTTTGCCATTAGAGTTGAGTGAAAAAGCTTTACCTGAAAGAGCATGGGTTGTGGAATTACCAACATGATTAGCAGAAGAGGACCGGTTGTGCAGCTCACTCAAGATCTGTTTGCACTCTTCAGCAGTAAAGGGAAATTGCATCTCCTTCCTCTCTGTCACACACGTTGCTGCTTGGTTCCCTTTGGAAATCATCGCACCAAACTCGGCCTCAGCCGCTGCCTTCTTCTTGCGGCAATAATCAGCTGTGTGACCCTTCCATCCGCAAAACGTGCATTTTAGGTGTGCACGGCAGTTCTTGGCAGTGTGGTTTGTTTTGTTGCACTTGGTGCACTTCAACTCACCATTTTCTCCTTCGAATTCACGGCTAGAATTCTTCACGGCAAACACGGCCGCATCTGGTTGTGCCTGAGCTTTACCCGCTGTCACTTTCGATTGCTTCTCATGCCGCAGAACTAGGGAGTATGCCTTGTTCACAGTAGGTAAGGGATCTTGCAGCAAAGTGTTGCTGCGAACACTTGCATATGAGTCATTGAGACCCATGAGGAACTTCATGGTCTTTTGCGTGTCCAAATATGCAGCCATTTCTTTGACAGATCCACAAGTGCAGATTGGAAAGGTGCACAAAGCGTCACGTTCATCCCATAGTCCCTTCAATTTCGTGAAGTAAGATCCCACGGACATACTTCCCTGCACACAGTCATGAATCTCATTCTCGATATTGAACAATTGAACCACGTTCACATGTGAGAATCTCTCCTGCAGTTCCAGCCACATCTGCCTAGCATTCTTGCATTTAATCACGCTGCTGGCAATGTCTTTTGACATCGACCCTAGCAGCCAAGTTTGGACCAAAGTATTGCAACGATTCCACTGCTACCATTCACTTGGATCTTTCCCATTCGGCTCTTTGATCGAACCATCTATGAGTCCAACTTTGTTCTTGACCGTTAAGGCCATAGTCATGGATTGTTTCCATGTGCTGTAATTATCTTCAACCAAGGGCTGCGGCACAAGAATAGCACCGGGTTGGTCTGAATAATGAAGGTATAGTTGGTGATTGGGATTATCCCACTTGGTTTCCGAAGCCGTGCCTGATGGTTTGCTTTCTGCCATGGAGGTCGGCTAGGGTTTTGTTGTGTTTTTGGTTATTGCCCAGATCAATGCTCTGATACCATGAAAGAAATTGATATGTAATTGATTTGTTATTGTATTCAAGAGGCAGAGCCACAGACTTATAGTTACAAAGCATCCTAATATGGTTCCTACGATCAAGCTAAATCATTCACAAATAAGGAAAGGAATTATTTACAATATTCACAGAATCAACATTCCATTCTAAGCTCGATCTCCTTCAACAAAAAAGTTGTTCCTACAAATCAGGATTTCAGCTATTAAGTGATAAAGTTCTATACAATACAAAGCTCCTCATTCAAAAGAACCAGAGGATAAAGAACTATAATTCAAATTCAAAACCCCAGTATCCTTATCCACATCAGACCTTGGTCTAACACTTCCTCCCCAGCTTATTGACTCAAAATTAGGGTTCTTCCTCTCATGGAATGTCAAAACTACAAGTT